AGAGAACTCTCGCCTGTCTATCTGGAGTCAGATGTTTTCTTAAGTCATCTTCCTGTTCTTTGACATATCAGAGACTCAGAAATGAGACCTGCATTCACCATGCAGCTGGACAACCTTACTGATGACAGGTCTACAGATGTCACTAGCTTTTAGCAAATCTTTTTGTTTCTGTGATCATGGGGAAACTTGATCTTGGTTCCTGGGCTGAGGCAGCAGATGTGTGAAGCTGAAAGCTGGGTGTCGTGGTCCTGTCAGGGATCTGCAGCCATCACCATGTAAAATTTTGCACATACCACATCAAGGTGAGCTCTAACTGACCAAATTTGGCCTTTTAAAAAGTAACTTGAATGCACACACTGCTATATTTAAAGTAGGTAACCAACAAGTTCTCACTGTACAGCACAGGAAACTCTGTTCATTACTCTGTAATAACTTAAACGGAAAAAGAATTCGAAAAAGAATAGTATAGGCAAAACAATCACTTTGCTATATAGCTGAAACTAACGCATTGCTAATAAACTATACTCCGATATAAAATTTTAAAAAAGCAAAATAAAAAGCAACCTGAAAACAAAAAAAATTTATGTTTTTCTTTATGATCTCAACCTCTAACCCTGCTTCCTAGAAGTCTAAAGCAGAATAAGACTCCCAGGCATGGGTACCACAGGGATTTCTCGAATCCCCCTTGCTCAAGTCCAGCCAGAAAGGGTCTATCTGGAAATCCAAGCCTCTTTCTCATTGTTTTAACTCTTTTGGGTCCAGGCAGGTTGGGACAAGTGGTAAAGAGGCCAATACATTCTCATAATGGCACAAAGTTGAAGTTCCTGAATCCAGTGACCTCAAGCAAATATTCCCTGACCATCCCAGGTCAGAGAACTCTTCCTTCAGAGGGTCCGAGTGAACACTGTTGTGCTTCAGCCCGTAAACAAGCAACTAATGACACAAGGAGCTGTTGGGTACATTGTTTGCTCAGCTAAGTGCAAATTCAATTAAGAGCCATATCCATATTTCACTGTATCTCCTAGTTCATAAAACAGTTCCTCAACTATATTAAGGACTCAATAAACTCTGGTTGACTGATTATAGCATGATTTTCTAAGTCATTTTCTTACATTTAACACACAATGTGCTTTTTGCTGATTATCAGGGTAGTTTTTGAATAAATAAAAAAATAGAAAAAACAGAGTGAGACATTAGGATATTAGTTAGGAATACCTTAGGAAGGATTAGTGAGAGAGATTTAGCAGAAAGGCCATACAATTGAAAGAAATGTGTGTGCTCTGGGACTCTAAAACTAGATTCAAATCCTTGTCCAAACAGCTAATGTGCTAAATGATGTTAGAGAAATCATTTCACCTTTGGTTTCCAGTATTGTTGTAAATAAAATGCAGGATTTGGAATAGATGATTTCTCTAGGACTTTAGAAGCGAAAATTACTGGGAATGGAATATTACTTCAAGTTTTACTGAGGGCTAACTCTACAAGAGAGTGAGTCCCCAAACAGCCCACCCAGCTGAAAAAAAAAAAGTTCTCTCAACAGAGAAAGTGGTTCATTCTAATAGAGTTTTGAAATTCATAGTTGGAATTGGTTAGATATTATTTAGAATTTTCACATCTATGGTTCCAAGTGAAATCAGTCCAATTTTCTTTTCTTATCCTTATTGGACTTTGGAATCAATGTTAAATAACCCTCATGATGTGAGCTGGAATCAATATGTTTGTCTTTTCCTAACAGTTTCCTAAACTTATCAGTATCTGTTTCTTCCAAATAGAACACTGTCCTTAGCACAGTCTCCCCCACCCCTTCTCCTTGTACTTCTTCACTCAGATCACACATGAAGTACTGACACTGTAAAAAATTTTAGCTCAGATTATTATAGGTATAAGTTTTCTCTCTTTATTTTTTAGGCCTTGATTATTTAAACAAGAATGAAATTTTCTAACTTATTTTTATTTCCCATATCAAGTAGTGTTTTCCTGGTAATATAGTTTTCTTAGTGGAATATTCAATCCAATTTTATTTTCAAATATGGTTTTTGTTAATATTTTTGTGTCACTTTGAGACTTAAAAAATTAGCTATATGGAAAATTATGTGTTAAATGCTGTTGTATTTTTTCCCCTTCAGCACCATAAAAATATTACTTTATGTACCCAGGGTACTACTGAGAAGTCTAATGTCCATCTGACTCTTTTTCCTTATATGTAATGAGCTTTTATTCTTTAAAAACTTTGAAGGGTTTCCTATTTATTTTCAGTGGTCATATATTTCACTAAAATATTTCCCACTAAGGGCTCCTATCCTTTATTTTTTGGCATCTTATAAGTCTTTCTAAACTGAGTTCCTAGGGGTTTTTTGGTAATTATAAGAAATTCTCAAAATTATTTCTTCAAAATTTTCCTCCCTTACCTTGATTTTTTTCTTTCTCTTCTGAAATTTCAACTCTATGATTTTTTGCTCAAATCAATGTTTCTTTTGTATTACCATCTGTTGTCCCCATCTTTTTTTTTACAGGATCTTGTTTTAATATCCTAGTTTATTGATTTGTTCTTTTTATCCATTCTACTATCAATCTCCATTTTATTTATTTTTGGGGCACAACACATGGCTTTCAGGATCTTACTTCCCAACCAGGAATCGAACCTGTGCCCCCTGCAGTGGAAAGACAGAGTCCTAACCACAAGACTGCCAGAGAATTCCCTGTTATTTTGTTTTTTTATGTTTCATATCCCCAGTTTGTTTTTTCTTCATAATGGAAGGAGTAGCTTCAAGCTTCCAATATTTGCTCTTATCATTTTTAGTATATTATTAGACTAATCATAAGCGATTCTTCCCTCTGGCCCATGAAGTCTGCTTCATCTGGTGCTCCAGTGTCTTTAGTGATGATACTTACACTTCTCAGTGGTCTTCCAGTTGCTGCCCGTGAGCTCACATTTCCCTTAGATTATCTGCTGCCTTGACTGCAAATGCAAAATGGAGAAGGGGAAGAAAACCTCAGGCCCTAGCTTGGATTGCTTCTGGAGAGCTGGGAACATACATCTAGTTGTTTTGGTTTTGTAGCTGCTAAATCTGACTCTTTTGCGATCCCATGGACTGTACCCTGCCAGGCTTCCTAGGCAAGAACACTGGAGAGCATTGCCATTTCCTCCTCCAGGGGCTCTTCCTCACCCAGGGACTGAACCCACATCTCCTGCATCTTTTGCATGGGCAGGCAGATTCTTTGGACTCTCTCTTTCTCTGCTGCTTCCTACCTCAACCCTGGACACTCCAGGTAAACTTGCCTTCTAGAGCCTCACATTTTTGAACACCCTTATCTCCAGGCTAAAACATCTGATGGGACTGAAGGGGTGGGAGCCTGATGGGGGAGGGAAGTCATGTTGGGAGGAGAAGAAGCCAGAGTGCTGGCAAGTCCACTGTGTTGCCTGCTCCTGCCTCCAGCTGGCCTCTGTCAGCCCCAGACTGTGCTGCTTTCCTGCCTCGTAGAGTCTCTGCTGGAGCCAGGGCAATGCAGAAAACAGAACAAGCATACTCTGAAAACTCTCTCCCACCTAGGCCCCCACCCGCTATGGAGGTTATGTTCCATGTCTCCCCTTCCCCCCATCAATCCCAAATGGGAATCTAACCATCTTCCATCTCTCACCAGGAATTTCCTCCCAGTTTTCATTTGGGGGATTCCATTAACCTCCCTCTTTCTTTTATGGCAAATCCGAGGTAAAGTTTGAGAAAAGAATTCAGCTGCATGTTAATATAACATCTTTCCAGGAATGGACAACTCACCAGTGGTTGTCAGAGGGTCACTAGGGCTTCTAGAGAGTACATTAGATCCTTTATGTGACCCTCAGGATAACTTCCTTTAGACAGTGAAAGTGAAAGCTGCTCAATCATGTCAGACTCTTTGCAACCCCATGGACTGTAACCTGTCAGGTTCCTCTGTCCATGGAATTCTCCAGGCAAGAATACTGGAGTGGATTGCCATTTCCTTATCCAGGGGATCTTTCCAACCCAGGGATCGAACCTGTGTCTTTTATGTCTCCTACACTGGCAGGCAGATTCTTTACCACTAGTGCCACCTGGGAAGCCCTACATGAAGGAGTAGGGACCAGAATTCGGCCTCCTCCCCACTCCATTTCAGCCCCATGAAAATCCTGCAGAACTCTTTGTGGAAGCCTGGAACTGTAAAAAACAGTCTGACAAACCATCATCCAGCATCTAGAGTGTGGCACTGTCTATAGTTTCATTTATTTTACCTTTTGTTGTTAGTTAACAATTCACTATATGAGTAGAAGACTTTGTTTTTTTACTAAATGAACCACAGTGTTTTCCTTTTTCACTGGGAGGAAAGAGTAAGATGAATTGGTAGTTCCCAAGGTTTATTTGCCTTCTTAAGCTTTCATGGATAAGAAAAATATTTAAAACATCTCATCTTAGCTAGATCCAGTCTTGGGCAAAGTTCAAGAGTGTTCAGTAAACAAATGTTTACAGAAAGCAGTGTAGATTGCTTATCACTTCTGGCTGATGAAGAAACTATAAATATCTGCATAGATCCAGAATCTGGGCTGTGGGGAGGAAGATTATTGATAGAGAAGGGGAAACTGTTCTCTTCTTCAACCATCGCTCATCCAGCTGATATAACCACCCTCTATACTTTCTGGGTATCTATACATGAGCCCCTGAAGAACTGGGGTTTTGGATTGCTCATTTCTGTGTCCCCCCCCACCCCAGAGTCTGGCATAATAAGCATAAGGTGGTACTCAAAAAATATGTGGGGGCCAAAGACCTTATTCTTGAGCTCTTGGCTTCAGGCTGTCAGAGTGGACAAAACTATTCCAAAACTTTTTACTGCAGCCGTCAAGATGACCAATATAACCTTGCAAGGGCTACCTGAAAGTTAGCTTACATTTTGACAGCTGTAGATACAGCTTAATTCCATATTGCTGGCTTCTTGAATGAAATGACCAGCCCTGCCTGCAAAGTCCCTAAAGACAAAGAAGAAACTTTACATTTGAAGACACAAGACTGATTTGTTTATTAGGTGCGTTCTGTAAGTTGAGGAGGGGAATTTTTGGCAAATAAATAAATAAATAATCAGACGAACGGAGGCTTCTGGGGCAAAGGAGCTGAGGAAGAGGAGGCGGGTCTTTGCATAGCTCTAGATGGACAGGAGGCGGCAGCAGGCAACGTGGACTCGCAGCAGAAGCGCAGCAGGGGCAGGAGGCTTCGAGAGGAGAGGGCCCGGCGACTGACTGCGTCTTCGCCGCGGAGGCCGCGACGCGGCGCCTCCGCGCTCCGCAGGCCTGGGCCCCGCGTCTCACATGATCTGCCGGGGCGTCCCGTAGCCGGTCATGCCTGCCTGGGAGGCCCCCTTGTTGCTGCCCATCTGCAGGCCTATTACGCTCTGCCCCTGGCGGAGCTGCTCCTCGGAGAATCCTCTCCGATTCTGCTGGGCTTTCCTGGGCAGAGGCAAAGAGATGGGACAACTTCATTCCGCCTTTAAGCCTTTCCCAAGATACACAGTTGGCCATGTTCTTTCGGGGGCCACCAGTCAGAAGGACAGGCCTCATGCTGAAGCACAGTCCTGCCAAGAACTATGGTTCTGCCCTGGGCTACGACCCCACCCGGGGTTGCAGCGCTTCTGGGCCACGGTCTCGCCACAGATGGGCCCCACCATGACACGTGACTCTCTACTCCTCAGAAGCTCAGGTGACCTTCCAGAGTTTCCACAGCAAAGAACCGGAGCTGCTTCTCTGGGGATTCTACGCTCAGCTTTCCTGTCCCTCCTCGCACCAGTTACCGCAAGCCCTTGTGAAAATTAAAATCAGCTCTTTTTATACAGCATGCCATTAATCCCACGCCACCCTTTTGGGTACGGGGCCAAGGATGAACTCCCACCTTAGAGCTGAGGGATGTGGTGAGTTAAGGAGGCGAAATCTCTTACCCTTGACAGATGTCTGTGAACGTTAGTGAAGAGCCTAATAGTAAATAATGCTGGTTTTACGGGCCGTATAGACCACGGTGGGTCACTAACAAACTGGGGGCTAAAACCAGGGTTTCACCTGGCCACACCTAGGAGCTTTTCAGACCAGGGTCATTTAAATTGCCACAAGCCGGTACCTTTCTCGACTGTCAAGAAGAAGAGGGGATCAGAGGGATGAAGTGTCAATTATCTGTACGGTGTGCTCTTTTCATCTCCCAATCTCCCACTGGGCTACTGGGCTGGCTTTAAGCTCCCTTACTACCCCTCTCTGCCCCAAACAAACAGCAAAACAAATTTACTTAGGAAAAGGCCCTTTACTGACATGATGATATAATTTATCATCCACTTCAGGCCACGTCTGAGCGTGACAGAGAATGCTATTAATGGATATGCTGGGATGCCAGGACTGTCTCAACAAATAAAACATATTTTCCCTTCATTATGTGGTGAAATAAATAAATAAATATGTACATTCAGGGCAACTTGGCTCATAATAAAACCAAATTCAGACATCAAGGCACATGTGAGAAAAGCCATTCAGTTCTGCTCAGTCTCAGGAGAGACATAGCGTGGGCAGGGCTGCAGTGTTCAGGTATCTGAAAGGCAGGAAAAGCCCTGGTGGTATATTCACCTGAACGGGCGGCATCGGGCCAGCCTCGTTCCGGGAGCTTCAGCTGTGGGGCTGTGTGTGCCTGTTCCTAGCCTGGACTCTGCGTCCAAGCAGCCTCCAGGGAGCGCCAAGGCTTCAGATGCTCACTTTTGCTAAAATCATCCTTGGCCCAGGGAAGGGGAGGACGTGTGACTGGAAAGGCCTTTTTACCTGTGAAACCAGGACGGCTCTCCCCGGTAACAGCCATCATCCTTGGTGATAGCAACGCTGCCCAGAGCCATCAGGGTCCTCTGCACGGCCGCCATGTCCTTTCCTGGAAGCCAAAGGGGAGATGAAAGCCAAGCGTGTGTCGGGGCCGAGGAGTCGAGGAGGATGGGGCTGGACCTCTGAAGAAGTTCTCATGGGAGGCTGTATTTGAGCACACTCAAGGGAGAGGGATACAAAATACTCCTCAAAGTGGCCCAAAGACAACCATAGCCAAACTCCTCAGAAAGGAACAAAAATCCTCCTGACTAATTATCCTTTATGTGGTGCATGCCAGAGATACCCAGGTTCTAATCCATTCCCAGCTGCGTGCATAACACATTCCAATAACTGAGCAGCTCAGACAGAGGTGGGTGCCTGCCCTTAGCAGAGGCCCCAGCCTCCAAGGGTTCTCCGAGCAGGGGTGAGGGGAGGTGCTGTGGGCAGGCTGGTGTGGGGGTCTGCACAGGAGATTTTCCTCTGGACTGAAAAAAGGAAACTGGAAAGATATTGACTGGATGGATGAACTGCACCAAACCCCAGGATTCTTTCTTTTACTTTATCTGGGTTAAAAGGGTCTAAAATCACCCAAGTGCATCAAATTGAGTATTCACTAGGTTCTTTGGGCTGGAGGCCTGGCAGGTGAAGACAAGCAAGTGAAAGCAGAGAGCATCCAGTGTGACGCGGTGAGAGGCTCTTCGTTTTGTGCTGCTTGAAAGGAGCTGAATGGAGACAATAAATCAATGGCTTGCAGGAGAGAGGGAGGGAGGGAGGAGGAGAGGCTGAGAGAGAGTGAAGGAGAGGTACGCGCCCTCACTCGGGGGAAGGGGCCACTGCCACCGAAGGAGCCCCGGGACCTTCACCCACGGAGCGGAGAGCCGGGCTCCAGGCCACCTCCTCTTCCCATCCTCTCCCCTCCCCGCTTCTGGCCTGCTGGTACGGCCTGGACAAGGAAAAGGTGAGCTGCTACTGTGTGCTCAGCCCCGCAATTTAGAACCAGATCCAAGGCATACATACGGCCAAGTGTGCCGTGCAGAAGCCAAAGCCACCGGCTGGGGGAGAGGTGCATGCTCAGCCTAGCAGGGGCTGTGAAAGTTAAGGGCAGATGCCAGAGTTCCTCTTGAGACTCAGTGAACCGTCTGCAGTCTCCCAGGACAGGCTGCTGAGCCCAGTCCCCAGGGAATAGAGAATTGCAGGGGAAAGGAAGACAAAAAGTGAGAATGCAGCGTAACTCTAACAAAATAAACTATTAAGGTCCACAGAGGAAGTCCAGCTCAGGAAGTCCATTTATTCACAGAGGAGAGAGACAGCAGATCCTCATCTCTCCCTGCGCCCCCTCCGCTGCCCACATTAACCACAGGACGATTTCCTGGACTGTGAGGCCCTTGGGATGGATAATACAGACAGGGATGAAGCTTTCTCAATGGAGAGCCCCACACCAGACGCAAGGAACAGCTGGGGTGGTGGAGAAAGGAGGATCTGGGCAGCAGATGGAGGGAGGCGGGCCCAAGGGATACTGAGAAGTCAGAGAGGAAACAGGAGAGGTTATGAGAATGCTCCCTCTCTTCCGCAGATGTAAAGCATTTCTGTGACTGTCACTGTACCACAGGATACATTTTTTTGACAGACTCGTGATGATATTCTGAAAGATCACTGAGGGAGGAGATAGGGAGAGGGCCTGCTTTCAGGCCGTGAGCCGTTAAACTGCAGCACATGGAAGCTTCGGAAGGTCTGGTCCATCACTCATCTCCACTCTGCGGGAAGCACACGGGAACTCTGCCTGGCGGTTGCAAAGAGCGCATCTGGCGTGTCCAGGATCCGGGGAAATGTGGAGCCTGGCACCTGGCAAGCAGCCGCAGATACTGCCCTGGAGCCAGGGGTGGGAAGCAGGCTGTTAAACCACAGACCCAGCCCCATCCGCCACACGGGGCTAACACACACACTGCAGGAGCCCAGAGAGCCCGGGGCTAACACACACACTGCAGGAGCCCAGAGAGCCCGGGGCTAACACACACACTGCAGGAGCCCAGAGAGCCCGGGGCTAACACACACACTGCAGGAGCCCAGAGAGCCCGGGGCTAACACACACACTGCAGGAGCCCAGAGAGCCCGGGGCTAACACACACACTGCAGGAGCCCAGAGAGCCCGGGGCTAACACACACACTGCAGGAGCCCAGAGAGCCCGGGGCTAACACACACACTGCAGGAGCCCAGAGAGCCCGGGGCTAACACACACACTGCAGGAGCCCAGNTAGCCCACCAGGCTCCTCTGACCATGGGATTCTCCAGGCAAGAATACTGCAGTGGATTGCCACTACAGTACTATTCATGCCCCAGGAAGACCCTGGGGCTCTTCCCAGCCCAGGATTGAACCCATGTCTCTTACACCTCCTGTATTGGCAAGCGAATTCTTTACCGCTAGAGCCATCTGCGGAGCGGTGGCTCAGACGGTAAAGAATCTGCCTGCAATGCAGGAGACTGGGGTTCAATCCCTGGGTCGGGAAGATCCCCTGGAGAAGTGCAAGGCTACACACTCCAGCATTCTTGCCTAGAGAATTCCACGGACAGAGGAGCCTGGCGGGCTGCAGTCCACGGTGTCGCAAAGAGTCAGACACGACTCAGCGACTGAGAGCTTCACTGATTCCCATGGACTTGATATGATTCTTCCCAACAGGTGGATGGAAAATTAACTTAAGAAAGTTAATTAACTTGCCAGAGCTACCCAACAAGGAAATCAGGGCCAAGCTCTAGCTCAGGTCTGTCTGAAGGCAAAGCCCACAAACAGTCTAGGAGGCCACACTGCCATCTCCCACAGGCATAAAATCCCCATAAAATCTGCGGCACAAATTTCAAATTACCTCAAATCTTTGTTTTGTTTGAAATAATCTCTCAACCCTAGACAGATTAAAGCATAAGAAATCAGTTGGGGCCCAGAGATCCCCACCAGTTTGCAGATCAATTAAAATAATTATTGTCAAGATTAAGTAGTATAATGAACAGAAATCTGCCGTCTGTGACCAGTTCTTGTCTGTTTCATTTTCTAAAAGGCACACTTTGGAAAGAATTCTACTGTTTTGGGAATCAAATGGGAAGCGCGTCTCTGCTCCAGCCTCACTTCTCTCGCCAGTTCAGAAGCTCAGATCAAGTGCTGCTGGGGGGAAGGGACTGTTCTCGGAGGCTGATTCCTGTCACTGAGAGTCAGACACTGAAATGTTTGAAGGAGCAGTGAGGGTAGGAAAGATCTGTGAAGTGAGCCAGTTACAAAGCGGCAAAAGCTAAGCAACTTGAATCACAACCGCACATCCATCTGCCTAGAACCCAGCCTGCTATAGAATATAGTTTCCCAAGCTTCTGGAATTATTCATGGGGTGAGGCTGGGAGAACACTTTTAAAATATGAAATTTTTCTGACTTTCTTTTTTTAAAAAAGAAAAATATGAAATTTGAAGCCATTCCCTAGAGGGACGGATCTGGCAGTCCTGGGTGGGGCCTGGGAGTTTGTATTCTTAACAATCTTTCCATATGATTCATGCCGTCAGACAAGTTTAAGAAACATGGGTTTCACCTGGTGACTCCTAACTAGACCAATCATCAGAATTACCTGAGGATCTTGAAATTCAGACCCTGGGACAGTCTCCTGTAATGATTCTGATGCAGCCAGATGGACATGCAAGCACTGCCCCCGATACTATATTTTTTTAATTTTTAAAAACATCCCAATGTCTGATAGGTGGTAGGTATTAAATTAAAGTTGCTAAGCAATAACTGCTTCCTTCAGAGCTACTCTCCACAAAGTCAGAAGTAACATCAACAGTTAGATCCACACTGGGGAGGCGCTCAGAACCTCAGAAGCGTGGAATTGCCTTGCTTCCTGAAAACTACCCCTGGATACTTTGACAAGCCAGCTGGAAATTGCTGTTCAAGGCTATTTCTCCAAGAAAAAGGGGGTGAAAGAGGAAGAAGGGGGAGGAGGAGAATGGTTCTAACGTAGCAACTAGGTGCTGGGACTTTTCTAGGTGCCAGGCGTGTGTGAATGAGACTGACTCCAGGTGACGGAGGTGGTTCAGTCGCTCGGTCGTGTCCGACTCTGCGACCCCACGGACTGTAGCCCGCCAGGCTCCTCTGTCGATGGGAGTGGGCTGCCATTTCCTCCTGAGTCTCCTGCATTGCAGGGAGATTCCTTATCGACTGAGCCACCAGGGGAGCCCAGAGTCCAGCTGGTGATCTACACACGAGAGCACAGGCCGCAGAAGGAAAGGGATACACAGAAGAGAGGCCACGCTGCCACTAACAGCTCAGGACTTTAACTGGGCTCCTGGACCCTTCCGGCCCCTATCATGGGGGAAACTAACGTTAGACTTGCAATTGTAAAAAGAGATGGTGATAAGGCAGCTTGCCTTGCCAGAATCTCTTACAGCAACGTAACTGACAGCACTCTGTTCCCCGTTTACTGCATTGTCACAGCGCAGGGTCTCCCCGCTGTGGTCTCACACTCCAGCGACCGAAGGGTCATGTCCAGGGCACGGGCCAAGGGTTCTACATTATAAGGAACCCCAGTGCCCATAGAGTTTGAAGGCTTTTACCAAAAAGATACCTGAACAAGGATTCTGTTCCCTTAATTTTTAAAATTCTTTTCATGCTCTTATGCATGTCTTTGGGTAGAAAAAATAAACGAAAAGTTAAAGAGAAAGAAACAAGGCTGGAGGAGTCGTCTGGGCAGGCACAGTCAGGTTGCATACTCTGCTTTCAAAACTCAAACTCAGTCTTACGTTCAAAACTCTTGCTTTGGAATTACTTTTATTTTACATTATTCTTAACTCCACCTTGTTGCTCTTAGAATACTGGCTTGTTTGTTTGTTTTTTCAATCTTTCTGGGACTTATAGAGAAAGCAGTCAGTGGATGAAAAAAACATTTCTTATTTACCTGAGTAATAACTTAGGCATAACCCTCAATTCTCCACTCAAGGTAGAAAACTATTGCTTTAGATCAGGGGGAAATGTCAGAGGGTAGGTTGGGCTGCTCTGTGGGCTTTATAAACTTATGCTCCTCGCCTCCCTGAGAAATTCTGTAGGGCAGTGGTTCTCAGAGTGGAGTTCCCAGACCAGCAGAAGCAGTATCACTTGTGAATGGGTAAGAAATGCAACCCCCGGGTGCCACCCCAGACTTAAGACCTCCAAAACTCTGGGGCTGGGGTCCAGTAATCTGGGTCTTCACAAGCCTGACAGGAGGTTCTGGTGCACACTGCAGGTGAAGGACCACTGCTGAAGCAAGAGCCCGCCGAACACCAGAGTGAGCAGTGCTTGGAGTAAATGCAGTAACGGCTGCTCTGAGAGAAAAGGAGGCTTCAAGCAGCAGGCGTTTCTGTAATGGTACCCATCAAGTCACGATGGGTACCGTACAATATCCCCAAACAGCTCTCAGACTGGGTCAAGAGTCTCGTCTTTTCTTGCTGTTGAGGAATGACACATATAGTGACACCTCCCAGAGAACATACATGGCTCCATATCTGGAATATATTCCAGGCACTCCACCCCCAGTATAAGCCTCGACACTCAGTCATCAAGGAGGCGAACAGGAAGATGGCATAAAACCATATATCCCAGACCCTCATCAGAAGGATTATGGGGAAGAGCAATCAGATTTGATTGATCTTTGAGTCTTGCCTACACTGACATTCAGAATTCTAGGTGTCTAATGCTCATTGCCTGGTTATGCATGGGAATGAAAAAGGGCATTTATTGATGGACTCACAGCAGAGGGAAAAAAACCAATGTTTATTAGGTGTCTCTTAGTCAGGCATTGCGCTAGGCATTTTATACATTTAATGCTTACAAGAATCCTACAAGGGATTACAGAGAAGGGAACTGAGCCTCTGAGAAACTAAGCAGTCTAACCAAGGTCACGGAGTATGACGCTAAAACTCATGCTCTTCCCATGGGACCAAGACCCCTTGGTTTGGAATAGGCAAAGCAATACTATATCATGGGGGAAAACATGCAGGGTAATGACCATAGAGGTGGGAAAAAGTCAACAAGAGGACCTGAAAGATGGCCCCTCGTTTTGGAGAATGGCCAGAAGTGAAGCCAGTGGAGATGACAGAGAGAGAAAAGGTCTTCCAGGCAACCTGAGCAGCCGCTATGTGAGGCCCTTAACGAAGTCCATTCATTCCAGACAGAGCATGTGCCCTTCCAGCCTTGCCCCTGCCGCCCTCACTTTCTATTAGTGTTTTTAAAGAGACAATGATAACAGTGACTTGAAAATTGCTGTCATATTTTATGGTCTACTCTTCCATAGTAGAAGCACTGCGCTAAGCACTTTTAATGCATTGTCTCGTTGACACCTCACTTCAACCCTGCGAAATAGACACTATTATTTCCATTCCACAAGTGAGAGAACAGAAGCTTAGAAAAGCTCATTGCTGAGTGGTGGAGCGGAGGTTTGAACCAGGCGGTCTAATTTCTGACTCAGGGCCTGCACTCTCCTGCCCGCCAGGGTGGCCTTTCTCTGCGCGCTTTGTGACCAGCGCACTCACTTCTCTCATGCATTCTCTCTTACACACACACCCCTCCTTTCCTGGCTCCTCCCTTTCTCTCCATCCCTCTTTCCCTCCACAGAAGAGAAGCTGAAAACTAACCTCATTGCTCTCCGGAATCACAACTGAGATGGCCCCACTCGTCCTTTCCAGGGACCCAGGGGGCATCCCACACCCGCCAGGCATCCACCTTCTCTCATCCATGAGAAAGACCTCTCCTTCCATGCTCTAAGCTGCCCTCACTGCTTCTCTATCACTGAAAGGAACAGGTCACCCAGCTTCCTTCAAGGGAAACTCCAGTAACCGTATCTATATCTCTGTAGTGGGGTTGTTTTTTAGACCATTCGGCCCTGGGTTCCTTCTTAAGGCCTTGAACCTTTTATTCTGTTTGCCCCCACATCCATTCCAAACATTTCACCTTGTATCTAAAGGGGGTTTCAAGGCAGAGGATACCTCTGTGGCATCTGCCTGTCCAAACAACTGAAGGAAAAGAGACGGCACGTGGCAAGCGCTGGGCTCCTGCGGCTCATTCATCTCGACGTGAGAGCAGCGCGGAGCCACTCACGGGCGCCGTGGGCACGCAGAGCCCCACTCAGGAGGATGCCAAGCTGGGGAGACCGGGCCTGAGAGCTGCCGCGTGTAAAGCGCCGGCAGACAAGGCCGGGAAGTACCCAGGCGAGGAGGGCTGGCCCCTCGGAGCCACGGCTACCAGGACCACAACGCGTGGAGTCGGGAGTGAGGGTGAGCACCGTGAACTCTGAGGACAGCCTTAACACCACAGGAAGAATGTGAAGCTAAGCTAAGGGGATGGCCAGTCCAGTGGCCGAGCGCACAAACATGGACACCTCTCACGCACACAGGCACGCCGACACTTGCCAGCCTGCCCAGCGGCATCCCTTAGACTCCAGCCTCCTCCTCCCCACCCTCGCGGGGACCAGCAGCTCTGGCAGAAGGATCCGGCCGCGCTCGTCGCTGCTGCTGTTCCATGGGTTTCCCTCCCAGACTCACCCAGGGCCACATGGCCATCTTCGCTCAGGCAGCCCACCGTCCTGCCTGGCTCTATTGTGTGGTAACCAGCCCGAGCTGCAGACAGGGCCCCTGGGGGATGTCCAGTGCCCCTTCGCGCACACAGAAGGGGTCTCCCAACCTCAGCCCTCAGCTGTCCCTCCATGGAGGGGCCCACCGGGCCCTGGAGCCTGCAGACACTGGAGCACCTGCTCTAGGCCGGCTGTCCCGACCGCGGCGTCTCAGCCACAGCGCCCGGCAGTAATCGGTGGCCTTCCTTATTTCCTTTACAGCCCCATCCTTCTTTGCCCTGGGAGCCCACTTGTCCACGCACAGTGTCTGCTTTTCCCCTTTCCCTAGGAGTATCACCCTGCCTCAGAGCCCACCCTTCCGCCGCCCCATCTCAGGCTCCCGCAGTTTCACTGATGCCGCTCAGCCTCCCTCTTCCCTGAGAAGCTGGGGCAGGTAGTACAATGTGCATCAGTAACTGTGGGTGAGCTCTAGTTTCATCATCACCTACTCTACCTCCCAGGGAACTTTGCCCCGGCCTCCTCCCCCTCACTGNAGCTGGGGCAGGTAGTACAATGTGCATCAGTAACTGTGGGTGAGCTCTAGTTTCATCATCACCTACTCTACCTCCCAGGGAACTTTGCCCCGGCCTCCTCCCCCTCACTGCGAGCACCTCCTGGGCCTAAATTTCACTGGTGCGGTCGTTGGAAAAAGAGGAAAGGCAGGCAAAGCCTCCTCAGCACAGAGAAGCACCCTCGGGCTCCCCACCTCCCCCAGCCCTCCCAGTTTCTTCCTTGCTCTACACACACCCTGTACGTGGTGGGGTGGGGGCTCACTGGGACCCCCCAGCCACACAAACCTGCCAGCAGGAGGTTCTCCCCACCTGTCCCACACAGCCCTGAATCACCCGCCCTCTCCTCTTCACCTCCTCGCTCGTGGGTATGACTCAACAGCACACGCATGGTGTAGGGGAAGGAAATAGCGTGCTGGCCAAAGCGTGGCATGCAGATGAGTTAAGGCCCCATTCTTTGACATCACAGAGCCTGGGTTTGAGTCCTGGCTCTGCTAATTACGAGCCAGTCATACGACAACACCTCCTCTCCTGGAATTGTTAGGAAAATTGATTGGTATTGTGCAGAAAGGCAGTAGGACCATGCCTAGAGCCGAGGAAAATATTGATAAGCAATAGTATTATTAGCAAGGAAAAATCAGCATAGTTTTGACCTATCAAGCAGGGACTAACGCTCAACGATGATATTCTGTGGGGATTTGGAGGCTAGTATCCATGAGGTTCAATGGCCTGGCCCGAAGGTCTGAATATCTGAGCTTCTAAATAATAGCAAAACATGGCTGATAAACAAACTGGCATCTTAGGATTTTTAAGTGCTCATCTGTGAAGGAAACAGGAAATGCCAGTTCTCTGCACGACATGGAGACGGGGTGTGGGGGTGGTGAGGATTGAGGCGGCAACTGCTTCTTTCTAAGGCGTTTAGTAGAATGGTCCTCGGCTAGAAATATCGTTCAACCATCATCCGAATACCCCTCCACATATCATTGTCTCCTGATCCCAGGAAAGTCTGTCCAGTCTCACTGTCGGCAGAGCCACGTGCGTCACCGCCCTGCGTGCCCTGCTGGTTGGGCCACTGATGACAGCTAGTGACGATGGGATGAGGGAGAAGCGTCAACCCGGCAGACCTGCTCACACAAGCCCCCCTCCTCACCGCGGCAGGCCTGGTGTGGAAAAACATGCTTGGATGGAAGGGTACATTTGGGCTCCAGGGGACTCTGAGCCCTGTGACCACGTGTCCCAAGTTCTCTGGCGGTATCTGCATCCACATTATTTTCCCTAATGATGGTGGGTTGGTAAATATGTCCAGAAACTTGATTTCCTTTTCATGCCTTGTTAGATTTCTTAAATCAATTCACAAATATAAAAGAAAAAATCATTTGTCACTGTCTCTGAGCAAATACACATCTGGAAGGTACAGTCATCAACCTCCCAGGTAATCATTTAATAAAAGGCTGGGGTGCTATTATTTCTCAGACTGAATGACAAAATTGTGCCAGGAAGCTTTGTCTATAACCCTGGCTGCTGGTGAGTCAGAAGCATACTTGCCGACCCCCGTCCCCTCCAGGAGCTATCATTTGTAGAGAAAATTACTCTGTAGGAGGAGTAAGAGAAAGGAGAGGCATCCATGCAAGCTTTCTGGCTTCCTCTCCACGGAGGCTTCGGTTTACGCCTGTGGTTTGCTGGGTCCCTGCTGGGCCCCGAGGTCTGTGTTCTTTAGAGGAGGAGCGCTTTCAATAGCACATCACAAAGTAGGAGGCAAACAGTGCGCCTGGGTGACAGCTGATAATCCTCTCACACACCCAAATCACACGCGCACACACGCATGGAAGCACACGGAAGAACACTGTGGGCAGGTTTCACAAAGAGAAAAGCAAAAGGGTGGGGCGAGGGGAGAATGATCCGAATGCACGAGAAAGCTGTTTACCTTCCCATAGATCCACGGTCTGAAAAATGTCGGTGGTCCTGACGCCATAGATCTCCGCAGCTTTTAGGAACTGGGAGATCTGCTCCATCTGCTTAAAAGCCATCTTGGACTCTGAGATCTTGGGAACGGGCTCTTGTCCTGGTGGGTATAAACTGTTTATCAGCTTGCACAAGACCTAAAGACGGAAAGGGTGGGGACGGGGGGGACAGAGTCAGTGTTCCCTTTGGATTTACTAGTCCCTAAATGCAAAGTGAATCCTGGCCCCCACAGGGTACAGACTGCAGGTTTGGGCCTGGGCCAGTCTGGCACCCCAGAAAGGCATGGCCTCTGAGCATAAGGATTCCCTTCAGTTTCATGAGAATCCATCCATTCAACAGACAGGTACTGAGCATCCCCAGGGCGGACAGCTCCCGGAAGAATGGGAAGGTGGTGAGTCCTACTCCTCCTGCCCTGCCTTTGTTTTACTATATAACCAACCTATTACTCCTGGGGGAAGGAATCCTCCCCCACGCCCCCATCTCCCTTCCAGGAGCTGATGCACCAAGAAGGCTGGAAGGATCTCAAGGAAATACTTATTTCTACTCTCGCTGGAAAGAGCAAAAGGGCTTCCAATCTGCCAGCAACTCAGAAGCAAGCTGTGATGTCTGGGATGGGCGGAGGGTCCCTCTAATCTAGCGAGGGAATTCAGCAGGGAGCCCAGATCGTCCATCCCCGAAGAGATAAAGGCATTCCCATCTCCCTCCCCGCGAGACAAGAGGTCGGCAGCCGCAGCTCCTCCGGCAGGCAGCCAGCCTCCCGTAGAAAGAGGAGGCCCCGGAGGGCTTCCCTGCCCACCGCTCGCCCCCCATCCACTGGGGTCGCTGCCGGTCCTTACCGTTCCGTCCATCAACCATTTCTGAAAATGGGCCCTGCCCGGGGGCGGGTGCTCTACGTCCTCGGCGCACTGCAGGATGATCCAGTCCACCAGCTTGTTCTCCAGGTCCGCGTCGTACTTCTGCTCGATCTTCTCCTGCACCTCTCGGCTTAAGCCGTAGCTCGGGCCCCTGTTAGCCATCTCTGGAAGAGAAGAGAAGACACGCGAGGCATCCACACAGCAGAACCGCCGCCCGGCTCTCTGCACCCGGGGCTGGGCCGCCCGGCCCGGCAGCAGCAGAGCGGGCAGGGAGCCGGGCGTGGTTTAAATCAAGGAGCCAATGAAGTCACTGGGGGTTCACCTACAAACGGAGAGGAAAGCAGCCACGCGCCTGTGACTCTTAGAATAAAGCCCCCGCGGGTCCGGGGCGGGGGCGGGCGGGGGCTGAACGGCCCCTCTCAGTCCCGCCTATCAGAAGGACGAAACGACGCACCGGGACTCACAATCAGGCCTGAAGCCCCGGGGCGGCTAGGGGGCTGGGTGGCAGTCGTTTCTTCCCTCCCCCCAGAGGCACTTCTGCGAAGCCAGGAGCCCCGAGATGGGAGACGGCAGGTGAAAAACAGGCAGGGAGGAAGGCCCCCTTGGCGTCGCGCTGCTGAGGCTATAAGCGCCTGGGAGAAGGGTGCACTGATTCGATTTTCTCGGGGCTGAGGAGGGTCAGACCCCGGCCGTTGCTAAGAGCCTTCCGAAAAGCCAGCCCTCTCGCTGTCAGTCAAGCCCGCCCGCCTCCCTCCCACGGAGAGCCGCTCGCTCAGCCGCACGATTCTCTCCGCGGCTCCGGGGACAGCCGGCGTCGTGCACAGCTGTCCATCTGTCCGGAGCTGCCAGACCACTCTGCCCTGCCCGAGGGGAACGCTTGTCTGGGGGGGCGGGGAGCTGCAGCGCGCAGCTTGTCCTGCTGCCAGGCGGATTTCATCCAGAAACTTCCATCCCGGTGGGAAACCGCTGTGCCTCAGGTTGACTTATTTAAGGAGCAGAGCGTTTTAATGCAACCTTTTAATCGGAAAACACTGAGAACACGTTTTATGAATTGAAGGGAGCTCGACGTACGAAGAACTCTTGGAGTGGAAGGTTTCTATAAAGAGGTCATCTTTTTATTTTAATTAAGGACCAAGAAGGCACCGCTGACACGCTGTCAGTGGTTGCTGGTATTTGGTGTGAGCAAACCAGACCTTGCGAATAATCTTCAGACCCAAGTCGGCCTGAAGCTTTTAGAACTGCTGAAGGTCTTGGTGGTTTGTCTTCCTAGACTATAAGCCGCTTGGAGGTAAAGGTGAAGTCTTGTTGAGACTTCCTTGGTGGTCCAGTGGTTAAGACACATAGGTTCCACTGTAAGGGGACATGGGTTCAAGCCCTGGTTGGAACACTACTAAGATCCTGTGTGCAGGGAGATGTGGCCAAAAAAAAAAAAAAAATTAAGTCTTATTGGTGTTATGTAAGTCTGGGTACTTTTCATGGGAAAAGCATCACAAATTTTCTTTGGTTTATTCAACAACAAAAAATTTTTTGGAGTGTTTAACTGTGTCAAATTCTGTGCTGGAGAGAATAAAATATAAAACTTTCCTCTGGAATAGATTGATCAGTTGACTCAGAACATTAGATAAAACAAGTCTAGCACATGGGATAGTGATCTTTGTCCCTGTGGGAAATTGATTTGAAGCTGTGCAGGAAATGACCTCAAACAATACATGTATTGAGAAAAATCTCCTGCCAGCTGGGGCCTGGACTCGTGAAAATCCAATTACTTCATAGTTACGTGGGCGGTTTGCTTGAGAAAAGGCTTAGTGGTCAGGAGCTGAAGGAGTAGAAGAGAGAACCCTGTGGAAAACAAATGGTTGTGAGAGAATCAGAGCTTTGAGGAGAGCAGTAGGTTAAAAAGAGGTTTGAGAAGGTCTGACAGTCACAGGTCGGGAGGCTGCATGGAAGCTTTAAAGGCAGCAGGCTGGCTTCAGAGATTACAGGCTCAGGGGCAAGGGTCTCTAGCAAGGAAGGTGTCTGCTGAATTGTGGAAGTCAGTCAGTTGCGTCTTGGGTGGAAGCAATACGGTCAGTTCCAACCCGGGACTAAGGAAACAAAAGTCTAAACAGAAAGCATGTTATTTCCTGTATGGCTGGAATTGCTCTAAGGAAGATATTGGTTTGTTATATAAAAGCAGAAACAATTCTAAAAGATGTACATTTGTCTTCTTTTTTTTTTCAGACTGTGTCCCGCAGATCTTTTTTACCCAAAGATGCTTTTGCCACTGTAACAAAATAATGTGAATGATTGAAATCATGGTTCTGGAGAGGATATAATGGTAAAGAGAGGAGCCCAACCAAGGCGTAAGTTAGAAATGTCCAGAAACCCACAGGAAATCTTCAGAGAAAGAAAAGCAAAAAGACAATCCCCTGGGTGGTGGCACCAGAAATTAGCTCAACCCTCTATTTACTGAGTGGCTAAGATATTATAGTTAATTTTTCTATGACTTTTTTAAAAAGCCTATGTATCTGAGATTAAAAAAAAATGAGACATGGCAACATGGTCTAGCAGAAAAGTTAAACTTGTAAATCATAGATGCCAACCAAGGGTTATGCTTAAAATATGCACAAAGTCCTCAGGTACATTTGTATCTGGAGGAAGAGGGTAGGAGATTAGTGAAAAGATTTACAAGTGAGATGATTTTAAGTCTCAAAAGATGAGTAGGTGTTTGCTTAGTGGATGGGATGAGGCAGAAAGTATACAGAAGGCATTGCTGGCAAAGGCGGGTTATTTAAGAAGGCAAACATAACCTATTATCAACGAAACATAGGGTTAAAGGGAAGATACTCATAGAAATAAAGCTGAATGGCAGGCAGTCTCCAGATTATAAAGGAGCATGTTTGCAAGTGTCCGTGGTTAAATTTTCAGGAATTTTGAAAGTCAATTGTTAAACTCAGTTATTATAAGCAGTTAAATTATGTAATCTTACTTTTAAATACATCATATTACAGGTTAAATATTCAAAGTGGATCACTTCCTAATTTATTTTGCTACATTTTACTACTACCTATTTTTTTGAGGATGTTTATGGTTATTATCTCTATATGGTATATATACTATGTAACAGCCCGGTACTGGCCATTTCTTCCCAGTTTCCTTGTATTTAGTGACATTACAATAGTAGCTTGAAGCCAGTTGTGACAGGAGTATTTCTACCATGGCTGTTGGCAAATGCTACAAATCAGAACTCACCCCAGCTAGTTGTTGACTATTTAATGGCCTTGCCACTGGGCTTATGTATCATGCAAATGAGCTTGGGTGCTTTCATAGTGGGGTGGGGGAGTGGGGGAAGAACCTTGAGATCCGATATAGGTGAAAGAAAAGAAGAGGGCCAGAATGACTCATGAGTTTGACTTGTATAATAAGGGTAATCGTTGCACCAGTTCTTTTAAGTGGACCATGAGCTGGGAGGTACATTAAAGGGGAAAGAAAACAGCGTTTGGATTTACTGCATTTGGGAGGGCTACCACAGTCCATCCCAGTCACTAGGCAGTGGGTTTTTGCATCTGGAGCTCAAGAGAAAATTCTGGAATGAAGGAAAGTAGTTGAGTTATCTTCATGCAGGTAGCAGTTAAAACCAAGAATCTGGGTGAAGTTGCTCAAGCTGAATTAGTATGTTGCATGAGAAGAGTCTGGGCTTCCCTAGTGGCTCAGTGGTAAAGAAGCCTCCTGCGGTGCTGGAGCCACAGGAGATGGAGGTTCGATCCTTGCACAGGGAAGATCCCCTGGAGGAGGGCATGGCAACCCACTCCAGCACTGTTGCCTGGAGAATCCCAGGGACAGAGGAGCCTGGCGGGCTGCAGTCCAGAGGGTTGCAGAGAGTCGGACAGGACTGAGATGACTCAGCACACGTGCGCACAAGAGAAGAGCGCCAAGGTCAGAACAGAAGGGAATGTCAGCATCACACCGAGGAGATGATGTGTGCGGCTGGGGAGGCCTGGGGCTGGAGAACATCAGAACAAAGCTGCTGTTCCCAGTGCTGCTTTGGGAGAGGGAGGTTGGCATATAAACTGAGACTCTCCAAGCAGTACGTTCTATCAAAAAGGCTTGAGCAGAGTGCTGTTCATGAGAGAGCACAGAGCACCTACCGAGAAAATTCTAGGACTCAGAGATGAGGATGAGTCAGGAAGGCAGTGAGAAGCTGAGATCTGAGCTTCCTTTCTATTAGATGTTTCTTCAAAAGACAAATTTGATTTTTAAAATTGCCTGCAGTTTTGAGGTATATACTCTAAGTGCACCAAAGCATCACATTTTTTCATCAAGCCAAGTTATGCATATTACGTGATCATATTTCTAAACTAAAAAGTGACTTTGGGTCTGTAATGGAAGGGGATCTGAAAAAGATATGTCTAAATTCCACCCATTTTCTTTCTTCCTTCAGAAGATAGAGCTCCTTAGGTGTTTTGTTTTTTTTTTTTTTTGAACAGCTTTAAATGTAGTGAAAATTTGACACATCCCCTTTGGGCACTTCCTTGGGAATGGTTGTGTCTCTAAGCAATGTTCTCTTGCTCTGCATCCTCGTGCTTTATAAAATTCAGCCTTGCCCAAAGCTCTTTTCCTCTTCTCCTCCTCGCAGACCCATCTATTGGCTGCTCAGAGATCAGCATACTGTGTAAGTTTGTGTCTGGAAATACCTCTGAGCTCAACAGATGCTGCAAAGCGAATGTATTCTGCGGTCTCATTGGCCTTCCTCTCCGCTGACATTGACATTATCCTCTTCCTTTGCAGGAGCTGCAGTCGCTCAGAGGGCCAGTGTTGCTTTTAAATCAATGCAGGAATTCCAGAGGATAGGCACTCTGAGCCTGCTGGCTGTTCAAGTGTTTTCCATATCACTGAATACATGGCATGGGGCGGTTTTAGAAAAAGAGGAGCTTTGGTGGGGGGAAGGAATGAAAATGAACACTAAAGGAATTAACAATGTCCTACATCAAACTAATTTGGAATTTATGATGCCAACATCTGCAAAGCTAGGTTAAATTTTAAGACGGCTTTTCCCATCTTAAGTAATGAAGGTTCCTGCCCCTCCTTTGTCCTAGCCATTGAACATTTGAAAGGATACCATACAGCTAACATTCCACTTTGGATCTTGGGAACTGGAAATTCCACTCCGGTTGTTTTAGAAGCCCTACTCACACCCTTGCCTTCACTTTCCTCCCTAAACTCCGATGCATTGTGCCCTCCAGCCCCTCACTGGCCTGTGTTTGGAACACGTAAGAACACAAACGAGGGACTTTCCTGTTGGTCCAGTGGCTGCGGCTCTGAACTCGAAAGAAATAACCCTTTAGAAAACTACAAGGGAAACGGTAGTGACTCCAATTTGTCATTATTCTAAATGCGTTGTGCCTGATCCTTACAGTTTATTAAATAGGTTTATATTATGGCACTTCACAGATGAGGAAGCCTCAGAGAGCTTAAGTGAATGGCTCAGTCACAGCTCGAGGAAATGGTAAACCAGGACGGAAACCTAAAGCTCTAGAGACTCTGCCTTTAAGCACTGTAGGTATTGCCTCCGCAGAATACTGTGAATCTCTAATCATATTAATTGCAGTTTCTCATAATTATGTTTAACCCTGTTCAGCTCTCATGGGCAGGAGCCCTTTCCTCATCTTTCTAATAATCCTGCCTAACAGTGTCTGGGCAATACAGGCCCCTGAAGAGAGGTCCTGCCAATATCACTGAATACATGGCATGGGGCGGTTTTAGAAAAAGAGGAGCTTTGGTGGGGGGAAGGAATG